ACACCACACACACTTCCAGACCTGGCTACTGGCTTGGTCTGATTGAATAACCTTTTTATTAGAAGTGGGATAAAATAAAGTATGTTCTGTATAGGAAATTAAATTTGGTTGAACATTTTGATGTGGTTCGTACTGAAACTAAAAACAAGTTTTCGTGTGGGCGGAATGAAATGCGAAGATATTGTACACATGTATAACCTTCTTAAGTTTCCGTGTAACCTATGGATGATGTACGTGTAGGGTTACTGTTATGTATATGGTGTCTTTTAAGAACGAAATCTAGATGTGAAGTCACGAGGTATCTTAGTCTAAAAAAGTTCAGAAAATATATTTCTGGACACTGTTTTTGATTAAAAATTCTGTAACAAACAAGTAGACGTAAATATAACATATCTAACTTAGTAACTAGAACTATCACGTATATCAGATTGTCGAAATCCGTGCAAGTGATGAAATAGCAGTGTGTCAGAGTTTGTTTCTCATATCTCTAAGAGTCATTTTGCCACGTGCTATAATAAACGTTTATGCAGTTCAGTATGCGTATTTATATTTAACGGTGATTTTAAGATTAGATGGCTGCCAAAACGCGCAGTTACGGAGACATATTAACTATAAATTAAAGGCAAATATACAAACACTCCGTTCGTAGATTGGACAACGAAAACAGCAGCACAAATATTACACTTCATTATAACTTGTGCCTGCAGGTTTCTTGTAAGTACAAAAAAAAAACGTTCAAGTGATAACTACTAGTTTGAAGGAGGAGAAAGAAAGTTGACACGTGAAGTAAACACAAGAGTGACGTGTTTGTCTTGCACTTTAAGGTGTTCAAAGAAAGATCTCTATTGAAACTGAAAATACTTGTATTACTATTTCATTTGACCACTAGTTAATATCAGCGTATTATAAACAACGTGGCAGAATACTGTGTATCAAAGTGAATATTAAATGTGGAATCTCTATCGTGATTATACGTCATAAACTCTTGTTTTGTTTTTAATTTAATTTAACGTGCTTTTGTACGGTCTCATACGTAATTTAGGGGCGTGTGCGAGCTTGAATACAGGTTCTGCTGAATGTCTGTGCGTAGAACCTTGTTTACGTAATAACCCAAGTTCAGAAAAGAGATAATACCCCTCCTCATATATATATATACATACACTCTCTTCATGACATGCTTTAAGAGTGGGCTAAATGTGGCGAAATGTAACAATCTCCCTCAAGTACGTTACTGGCAGTGTCGCGTCATTGGCAGGGACAACTTGTAAAATCAAAATAATTAATATTGAGTTTCCCCATAGACTACCTTCTACACGTTCAACTGTTTATTAAGTAGTCAAACAATATGTATATGTTTAAAAATGTCAAAATGATTTTAAAATTTCAATAATACAAATTGTTTCTCAGAAGATCCTTTACATAATTCGGTGACGAGGAACCCACTTTGAGACTGATAATGGCTGGAGACGGCTTGAATGGGTAATGAAGAAAAACTTTATTATAAG